AAAAAAAGAAAATAGATTTTCCCCTCACATAATATGTTCTGATTACAATTTCCCTTCCCTCCTCAGCTCTCAGTTCCTCCCCACCTTCCCTCTCACCCATATCCATTCTCACTAGAAAACAAATAGGCTTCTTAGGGATGGTAATAAAATATAATAAGATAAAACAAAACCTTACACATTGGAATTGAACAAAACAAACAGAAGGAAAAGAGCCCAAGAGAAGGCAGAAGAGACAGAGACCCACTTAATTGCATACTCAGAAACCCCATAAAAACACTAAACTGGAAGCCATAATGTATGTGCAAAGGACCCGGTGCAGACCCATGCAGACCCTGTGTTTCTGCCTCAGTCTCTGTGAGTTCATATGTGTTTTGATCAGGTTGGCTTAGAAGGCCTTGCTTTCTTCGTGTCCTCTATTCCCTCTGGAATAGCACTCTTACACTCTTTCACTCTTTCTGCCTCCTCGTCCACAGGGTTCCCTGAGCTCTGAAGAGAGAGATTTGATGGAGAAATCCCCTTTAGGGCCGAGTGTTCCAAGGTCTCTCATTCTCTGCATAATGTCTGGCTGTGGTCTCTGTATTTGTTCCCATCTCCTGCAGGAGGAAGCTCCTCTGGGTTTTCCCCTTTCTCTATTTCTGTTTATCTTTTTTTCTTCTTCTTCTTATTCTGTGTCTGGCTGTGTAGCTAAGTAGCTGGCCACTGGCATCCTCCTCTCCTTCTTTTTTCACTCCTCCTCCTTCTTGTTCTTTCCTTCTATTTGTTCTCTCTGCCTGGCAGCCCGACCAATCACTCTCCTGCCTAGCTATTAGCCTTTCAACTCTTTAGCAGATCAATGAGGCAAAGTAACACAGCTTCGCAGAGTTAAAGAACTGTAACATAAAAGAATGCAACATTTCTTTGCATCATTAAACGAATGTTCCACAGTAGAAACAAATGTAACACATCTTCAACTAATATTTCACAGCATGCTGCTATATTCCTAGAGCCGTGCCTTAGGCAGCCGTCAGCAGAGGCGCTTCCTACATGTTATGTGATATGTTGCTCTTTTGGAGGGCCCACCACCCAGCTCCCAAATAAATCACACAAGGAGCCTTATTCTTCATTAGAAATGCTCTGCCCTAGCTTGGCTTGTTTCTGGCCAGCTTTTTTAACTTAAATTATTCCAACTACCTTTTGCCTCTGAGCGTTTTCCTTCTCTTACTTCTGCGTATCTTACTTTCACTCTGACTTCATGGCTGGGTGGCTGGGTGGCTGGGTGGCTGGGTGGCTGGGTGGTTGGGCTTAACATCCTCCTCCCTTGGTTCTCTCATTGCACCTCCTTCTTCTCTCTCCCAGATCTCTCCTTCTATTTATGCTCTCTGCCTGCCAGCCCTGCCTACCCTCGCTTCCACCTTGCTATTGG